GAGGGGTTTTGGTCACACACGTTTGGTTCTTCATGCATGTGCAGTTTTTTTTTTTTTTATTTTAGAAATTTATTCATTTCATTAAAAACAAAATAACTATATACAATAGAAAACAAAAAATATATATACAATTAAAAAAATTTATGGTAAATGGACTGTATTTATATAGCGCTTTTCTATCTTATTTCAAGATACTCAAAGCGCTTTACACTACAATCTGTGCCTCATTTACCCATCCACACAGCACTAGATCTCTACAAAGCTAATTGAACAAATCATTCTAATGAGACTAATCAGTGCTTTAGATCACATTCATACACCGATGGGACACACATCGGAGGCTATGAGGGGTCCAGTGTCTTGCCCAGGGACACTTTGGCATGTGACTGCTGGTGGATTCGAACCCCTAACTCACACCTAGGGACAATTTAGAGTTACCAATCAGCCTAACATGCATGTTTTTGGTCTGTGGGAGGAAACCGGAGTACCTGTCGAAAACCCACGCATGCACGAAGAGAACATGCAAACTCCACCCAGAAAGGCCCCTGGACCGGGGTTTGAACCAAGGACCTGCTCACTGAGAGGCAGCAGCTCTACCAGTTGCGCCACCGTGCTGCCCAAGTCTGGGACAATTATTGCTTTATACAACATAAACTTTGTGCTTTGTACAGTACTGCAATAGATGTAGCTATTTTTGTTCTTAAATTATTTATGTGAGGTTTCCATGTCAGTTTTTCATCAATGATGACACCCAGAAACTTCACCTCACTGACTCTACAAATCTCAACACCATCAACTCTAATGGAGCATCGACAGTTCTCTTACTGTTACTGAATATCATATAATTTGTTTTATCCAAATTTAATGATAATTTGTTCAGTTGAAACCTATTTTGTATTTTCACAAATTCTGTCTTTACCAACTCCAGTTGTTTAACCTTATTTCGGATGTATAACAATACTAAGAAGAAGGGGAAAAAATGTAATACAATAGTCCCTTGCTACTTCATGGTTCGTTTTTCGCGGACTCGCTCTATCGCAGCTTTTCAAAATGAGATTGGACATGACACAATGGCTGACTGATGAATGAGCCGCACGACTAGCATGGATTTTTATTTAAAATAAATGTTATATTATTTAGCACCTGCTGCACCTTTGTACAGCCCACAGCTGCAGGAGAAGCTTCCTCCTGCAGTGTGTCAATCTCTGCTCTGCATCGGAGAAGTAGGCGTGGCCAAGAGCACTGGCAGATGGCAGAGAGCTGAAATCATGAAATGTTCCTTTTTTAGAGCATTTTTATTTAAAGGTGGGGGGTGGAGATACAAATTTAAAAAGCTTGAGATTCTTTTACAAGCAGGTCGACCTGCTCACGTAGAAATACCATTGTTTAAAACAGATTTATTAAACAAAAACACAAACTTTTACTTTACAGCAACACTTTAATTATTTTTATCTTAACAGCATGGTTGATCACTTAATATATTAAAGTGGACATACAATTAGTAAAAAATGCATATCAAAGATTGGTTTTATTTCTATGGAAATTATATTGTGAAATTGTGATTTATGTGGAAAATATAATAGATCTTTTAAATTACTGAGTCCAGATGTCCACAGATTCGTTGACAGCAGTCAGACACATCACTGCCTTTCTAGGGGTTTTTCCACAAAACTTCAGATTTTGTCTTTAATCCCCGAGGCGTGTGTGAGGGAGTGTCCCGCATAAAGAGATATCCAGTGAATTCTTGAAAGCGAACCAAATTTTACAGCCAGATCAGAGCCCATGTTTTGCTTTACGCCTCTTTCTTTTCTCGTTTTACCTGTTGATTAAATCATGTCAAGAAAACATGCTTATCGAGAAACTATGGGATGTACATATTTTTGAAATTGACCAAAGATATACAGGGGTATTAATAAAAATGTTTTCTGTTAGATTTATTAAGTTGAAAACCTAGTTGTGACTCAACACTGCCATAAAAACCAGCATGTAAAGGCTATCTATAGGTTTTTTTTCTGAAATTAATATATAAAAAAGTTAAAAGCTGTTCAAACTTCAGTCTCTTTCAAAAGGATCTAAAGTGTTTCACCATATATGCATGTTTTTTGAGCTCTGTTGTAATTTTCCATATTGCTGTTTGAGTTTATCGCTTAAATCCCCTTTTTTACGCCCAGCTTCACCTGAAGTTGCTGTTTATCACCAGTGCTGGTTTAATAAAATGTCAGAGAGTCAGAGATTCTTTATTGTCATTCGCACCTCATGTGGTACATGTGGTGGAGCGAAATTATGTACACAGGGTCCCAGTGACATCCAACAATAAAATGTATAAGAAAAACAGTAATAACATCTAAGATATGAACTAAGAAAAACATCAACTAAATATACAAAATGTACCTGATATTGTTAAAACATCTCATTGAGTTTATATGCCACTCCCTGACCCTGAAAGCAGCTTAAACTCCAAACAGTGACTGGAAAGATTTTGTCAGGGTCATGCAAAGGCCTTCACTCCCTCCTTCATCTGTTTGTCTTTGCATTCACAGGAGTCTCACTGTCCCAAGGTCCACATTACAGTCATTCCTTGATGTCTGGGTGTTACCTAGTGACTCATAAATAAACTCTCTTCCAGTAAAATAAACCAAACGGCTTCGTGTTAATCGGATTTGTAAGGTGATTGTTGTCCTGCTGCCAAAGAGACCTCTACTGTCTGACTAAATCCTTAAAGTTTGGGCTAAATCTAACGGTCTAATGGAGGAGTAAAATGACAAAAATTACATTGAATAAGAAAAGTGGGGCGAGTTGTTCTTCAACCTGGCAGGAATCACTGTAAACACTACCTACAGACATACAAATGTTGGATGAAGCATTTTGCTCTGATTAGTCTCTTTAGAATGATGTGTTCAGTTAGCTTTGTAGAGATCTATTTATTATTTTTATTGATCTTAATGTTTTAACAACTGTTTTTATGTGTTTAAATGTTCTTGATTTTATATGTACAGCACTTTGTGGCAGCTGTGGTTGTTTTAAAGGGCTTTATAAATAAAGTATTATTATTATTATTATCTAGTAGAGTGCTGTGTGAATGGGTAAGTTAGGCACAGATTGTAGTGTAAAGCGCTTTGAGTATCTTGATTAGATAGAAAGGCGCTATATAAGTACAGTCCATTTACTATTATATTGTTGATGTGTGATCCTTATCTTGTTCATCGTGTTTCTCTCCTCAGCATGTATGCTTTCTCAGCAAACAACAACCAGGAGCTCCAGTATCTTTGGGACTGGAATCAGCACAACCTGACCATAAAAACAGGAAAGCTTTTCTTCAAAGGCAACCCAAAGCTCTGCATGTCCGAGATCCGCAAGATGTGGGACAAGACGGGCATCCAGGGCCGCTTCGATGAGACCGATTTCCACAAGAATGGCTACAGAGCCAGTTGTAAGTCAAAATGGACTTGAGTCCACCAGAACCCACGGTCGTTTAAATTGCTATGTCAAGTTTATATGCAGGTGCTATTGCTCTGAGCTAATTCCCCTCTGAACCATATGTCAGTATTTGTTGCTGCACATTTTCAACAAGACTAATTGCTGCCCAATATAGCGCCCACATATTGAAGTACTTTTGCCTTGTTTCCTAATCTCTGCTGTCCCCCGCAGGTGAAAGCACTATCCTGCAATTTACGCACAACAGCACCATGAGCACAAGGATCAAGCTGACATGGGAGCGCTACCGCCCTCCTGACTACAGAGACCTCATCAGCTTTGTAGTCTACTACAAGGAGGCGTAAGTTCCTGCATTGATGTTTGCTGCTCCGTTCCTTAAACTAAGTGTTGCTGGGCACAGCCCGCAACAGAACCTTCAGTCCACTTTATCACTTTGTTTTAAAGGCGACAGTCTGCTCGTGTTTGAGATAAACTGCCAACTCTTTTTGTTGAACAAAAATAAAAGTGCAAAAGGAAAACAAATTATTTTATTTATTTTTATTTGACCTTTATTTTACCAACCAGTGTGGGTTTTTCAGTAGCCAGTGCCAGTTTTTAAAAATCGGGACAGCTAATAGTGACAATAAAAGGCCAAATTTATTTGTTTTTAACCCATAACTATTACATTTAATTACTAACCAACTAGATGAAAAAAATCTGTGATAAATCTTGGGCAAATGCTCATAATGGTGTTTGTGATAATCATCAGTAGGACTAGCCCTTCGATTGTTGTTAGCTGCCTGTATTACCGGTAGTGTTTCTGTCACTAACCTACCACAACCACGCTGAAAAACATTTCTGATTTTACGTTTAAGTACATATTTAATTACCATATCAATAATGTGCAAAAAACATAAAAAGTGCTTAAAGTTTGTTTCCATCAATGATCGATAAATGCAAGAACTAACCTCATCTGACAAGACCACTTTTTTCTAGTCCATTTCAGAACATCACAGAGTTTGAGGGGCAGGATGGTTGTGGCTCCAACAGCTGGAATATGGTGGACGTGGAGCTGAGGCCGGATAAGGAGTCGGACCCTGGGGTTCTGCTCTCTAGCCTTAAACCGTGGACGCAGTATGCCATCTTTGTTAAAGCGATCACGCTCATGGTTGAAGACAAACATATACTCGGTGCAAAGACCAAGGTGGTTTACATCCGCACCAGCCCCTCTGGTATGTGTGAATATTTCACTTGTTGCTGTTCTGACAGCTGAAACATGATTTATTGGTTAAATAACTTTAAGATTATACGGGAAGAGTTATCATTGTTTCTTAATGATGTTGCTACTAGTACTAAATAGCCAAGAGTTTGTTTTTTTCTTCTCCCACAACATGGCCCATAAATTGAAACTGCAAAGAATTGTAATAAAATATTCTACTATAACATGGGACACCCTTTCACAAAGCTGACACATCATCAGTTGTTAGTTCCTTTTTAATAAACATTCACTTCAGGGGTGTCCAGTTCTGGTCCTCAAGTGCCACTGTCCTGCATGTTTTAGATGTTTCCCTGCACTAACCCACCTG